TGGGGCTTATACAATTCACCACAATACATAGATCAATTGTATAAAACACACCTATACATTTGTTGCCCTCTGAAGTAGATCTTAAGAGAAATTCCTCTTACTTTAGAGCAGCAGTTCTCAACCTGTGGGTCGTGACCCCTTTGGGGGGTTCAAATGACCCTGTCACAGGGGTGGCCCAATTGGGTCAGAGTCAGTACAGAGAAGTCTTCATTTTCCAGAGCCTTCCTGAGTCTTCTGGAATGCTGAAGGCTAGAGGAGGACTCTTACCTGCCTGGGGCTGCCCGCCCTTCTTTGCTGAACAAAGGAGAGCCTAAGCTACAGACGGCCCTGGATCGCCATTCCCTAGGATAAAACAAGCAAGCAAACACACAAACAAACAAATCCGTGGATCGCACTCAGTTTGTGCGTTCCCGGTGGGGTTTCTATGAGATGATGAATGTGGATTAAGCTTTCACTTCCCTTGGATCCACAATCAACACTCATGGAAGCAGCCGTCATGAAATCCAATGAGGGACCGCTTGGGGCAGGAGCCTTGGTTACGCACAGGGCTGCTTCCTGCCAGGTCAGCACGGTGAAACCATCAGCCACTCCTCCGGAGAAAGGCTGCCCTTTCCACTCCCTTCAAGAGTTACCGTCTTAGAGACGCATGGGGGCAGGTCGACCCTGTCCTGTAGGGTTGCTACGTGTGGGCATCAGCTCGTTGGCAGTGGTGGGTTTGGTTTGGGGGTGGATTGAGCAAATCTGCTATAAAATATCTCTTGAAAGTGTTCAGGAGCAAAGCTACCACTTGAAGGACTTCGGTGTGTCTGGTCTAAAGTCGCGGCATTCTGAGTTTCCTCGTCGTGCATGCCCAAACCGGACAAGGAGTCAGGAAGACCTGAGAGGACGTGGTGTATTTGAAAGGGTCTTGTTGAAGAGCATTGGACGGACTGAGGACTGCCAAGAAACCAAACCCATCTGCCCGAGAAGTACAGCTGGATTGTTCCTGGGAAATAGGGACGGAGAGACTTCACCTCCAGCACTTGGGACATGTGATCTGGAGAGACCGGTCTTGAGGAGGCCATCATGATGGGTGGATTAGGAGCCAGGGAAAAAGAGGAAGACCCTTCACCAGATAGATTGACCCAGCGACAGCAACGTGGAAGTGGAACTCAAGCATCAGAGTTGTGAGGATGGTGCCGGACCAGGCAGTGTTCTGTTCCATCGTCCATGAGGCTGCTATGAGTCGGAACCCACTGGATAGCTCTGAACCGAACCGCATGAACACAGCCTCACAGATGGGCCCTGCACTGCTTCTATTACATTCTCCCCTTTTGCTCTTTTCAACAAGACTGTCTCCCTGGTGCTGCCGTCATCTCTGTCCATGCCACACATTTTCCAAACATGCTACATCTGATGAGCACCCTTGGTTGGGAGGCCAGGCAGCCAAGCTTGCTAGAGAGAAATGTGAAGCAAGAGTTAAGTGGCTTGGGATGGATACTGTGGATGGGCTCTATGGACCGTGTGGCACCTGTCCTGGACACTCAGGAGGGCTTACAGCTGCCTGTGCTTGTCCACTTGGTTGGGTACTCAAGCAGCATAGAGTCCACGGGTGGATGGGATGTTCCCTTACCCCCTTCCTTGTCTAATTGCCACATCATGCCTCCCCTCCATGCTGAGCTGGAAGGTCCAGGAAACTGAGGCTATGTGTGCTGTCTTCCACTGTGAGCCCAGCCTGCCAGAGCCCCTGGCGATCCTGTTGTTGCTGTTAGCTGCCATTGAGGCCACCCCAACTCATGGCAACCCTGCCTAATGGAAGGAATCAATGCCAAGTGCTGGACCCTCCCGAGATGGGTTAGATGTGTTCTCACTCAAAGAGGCAGAGGAGATGGTGGGGACGACCTTCAAGTGAATGGCTTTACCATAAGTGAGTGGCTTTAATGAAGAGAAATGTAAACTCTCACAGCTTTTGAGGCTAGACGTCTCGATAGGAAGGTGTCCAATCTAGGGGGAGGCTCTTGGGAAGGAAGGTCCTGGCTCTTTTCCACTCTTGTTCCTTGGCTCCCGGGGGATTTCCATGCCCCGTGGCATGTGTCTTCCCTCATCTCTGCTTTCTTGCTCCATCTTTTTAAATCTAAGATGAAATTAACTTAAGATACACCCTTCACTAATACAGCCTCGTTAACATAACAAAGAAAACTCTCACTCTTTCTCTGTGGGGGGTGTGTGCGCACCACGCCCCCATGTGATTATAATCACAGAAATAGAGGTTAGCATTTACAACAGACTTTTAGGGACCCAATTTTATCCCTAACAGTGTCACTTTCCCCAAGCTATGAAGAGGGCTGTCTGAGTTACCTAGCGATAACATACACCATACGAGTGACCTAAAAATTATATTAATTTTGATGGTTGGAGAGACGAGATGTCTGAATTCAAAGTGTGGCTCTAGGGGGTCCTTCTCCGCCTCTTTCAGCCTCTTGTAGCCAGCGACGCTTGGTGTTCCTGGATTGATAACAGTGTCTGTCTTCACATGGCCTGTTCCCCTGTGTGTCTCTGTGGGTTTCCTGCTGTTTATTGCTCAGGCGTGATTGGGTTTAGGATCCACCCTACCCTCGCATGGACTCAATGAACAAAAGAAATCCCTAAGAAATTTCCAAAGAGGGTTCTTTGTAAAGGTTTGACGTTTTCCACGCATTTTTGGAGGAACACAATTCAGTCCATGACAAGAGCTAAAGCAATGAAGTATATTTTGCTTTATCTATAAAATACCATATCGTGAGTCAGAAGTGAATACTTTAGGCTATTAGAGGCAGGACCTTAAAAAAGCCAACGTCCTCATTCTGTGTCCACTCAGCCCCCCAAACACATTTATACAAATGCATGCACTGCAAGGTTCCGCAAAGACTCGAGCAATGAGCAGGAAAGCCCATTTCTCTGTGAAATCTTTATCACTGTGGTGATCGCATTATCCCAGGAGGAACCGCATCTGAAAGGAGGGATGGGATCTTCCCAAATGGTAACTACATGGGAACAACAACAAGGGGCACAGGTGCTGTGTTTCATTATTATTCCCATTGTCTGCTTTTGGAGAAGGGAGAGTCGGAGACGTGCGGGACTTGCCCCAAGGCCGCATGGTGAACAAGAGGCAGTGGTGGGGTTGGAATCTGGGTGGTTTGCAGACCTCGCGAACTGCTGCTCCTTCTGCTCCACCCATGTTGGGGGAGCGGTTGGTCATCCTGAACAAGCCTCATTGGCTCAAAGATATGTTCAACCCAAAGCCCAGCCCATGGGCAGTTCCACTGTGGGACACAGTCCAAATGCCCTGGCCTTTCAGCCTGAAATTACTCACCCAGGAAACCTCCGTGGGTGGACAGGGAACGACGACCTTGATTGTTGCTGTAGCTGTGATGCAGCAGGGAGGGGGCTTTCAAGGGCGGACATGGATTTTCTCACAGTGCTGGAGATGGGAAAGCCGAGCCAGGGTCCTGACCAGGTCATTTCCTCCATGTTGGTAGTTCAGGCTTATTTGGGGTCTTTGGCTTAGACCAGCGGTTCTCAACCTGTGGGTCATGACCCCTTTGGGGGTCGCATAACCCTTTCACAGGGGTCGTCCAATTCATAACAGTAGCAAGATTACAGTGAAGAAGTAGCAACAAAAATAATTTTAAGGTTGGGGGGTCACCACAACATGAGGAACTGTATTAAAGGGTCGTGGCATTAGGAAGGTTGAGAATCCCTGGCTTAGAGGATCCTCACGTGGTGTCTGTCTTCCCATGTTTGTGCCCCTGCAGACACACCTGTTCTCAAAAACCCAAAACAACTCACTGGCATTGAGTCAATGCTGACTCATAGCAACCCTCTGTGGGTTTCTGAGACTGTAACTGTCTTTCTCCTATGGAGCTGCTGGTGGTTTTGAACTGCCAACCACGCAGCTCACAACCCAACATGTAACCACGACACCACCAGGACTCTACACTGTATTGTTGCGTAGGGACCATATGTTCAACAGGACAAAACACCACCTGGGCTTGCATCGTCCTTACAATGGTGGCCACCTTTGAACCCACTGTTGCAGTCACTGAGTCAATCCATCTCATTGCGGGTCTTCTCTCTTTCATTGACCCTCCACTTTATCAAGCACGGTGTCCTTCTCCAGGGACTGCTCCCTCCTGATAACAGGCCCAAAGTGTGTGAGATGAAATCTCACCGTCCTCCTTTCCAAAGAAGAGCCTTCCGGCCCGTACCTCATCCAAGGCAGATTTGTTTATTCTCCTAGCAGTCGGGGTACCTTTCAGATATGTTGTTGGGCACCCCATTTTTCTCCAGTTTTTCCTGTTTGTTGTACAGCCTTTGCATGCGTATGAGGCGAGGGCAATACCATGGGTTGAGTGTGGAGCCCCTTAATGCGCCAAGTGGTATCATGGCTCTTTGACCCTTTGAAGAGGACATTTGCCCGGTGCAATGTGTCATTTCACGTCTTGACGCTGCTCTCATGGGTACTGATGGTGAATCCAAGCAAAATGAAATTCTGGAGAACATCCACCTTTCCTCCGTGTAGCTTGGCGTTGCTTATTGATCCGGCTGTGTGAAGTCTCACTTTCTGTTGGTTGAGGTGGGATCCACACTGAAAGCTGGAGTCTTTGAGCTCCACCAGGAAACGCGTCAGCTGCTCCCGACAGCAAGTCAGCAAGGTTGTGTCATCTGTGGGTCATGAGATGGTCATGAACCCTCCTCCAATCCCGGGGCTACAGCCGCCTGGTCCAGCTTCTCTGCTGATTGTCTCAGCATACAGATGGACTAAGTGTGGTGAGAGAGTACGACCCAGTCTCGATGCTGCTCCTGGTAGAACTCAGAAACGATGAGGTTTTTGACTCATCCTGCATTGGCATGACCTCCACTGATTCATTGCACTGCCCATCACAGCCCTGCTCTTTAAAATGATTCAAGAGCAAAAATAGCATCCTTTATCTAATCAAGAAAAGACTGGTCATTGGTGTGATGTCTTACCCTTCCCTCAGGTCAAGGCCGGCCCAGGAAGAACTTCCCTGGAGACGGTGGGCTGGGGGATAGTGTCAAAGCTGATGTCTTTCTACCCATGGAAACATTCATTTACAAGTACGGCTGTCACTCAGTGAGCATGTCATTTTATGCAAGATGACTCTCTTCACTCAAATCTAAGCCCTCCAGGAATGCCCAAGGCAGCATCGCTACAAGAATTGGAACAGGAGAAGGGGGAGTAGTGTGTGAAGAGACTGTACAGTTATTCTGAGAACCATGAGAGGCCAGAATGCAGCATCCACAGAACACTCTCCCTGAGAAGG